AATAAACACCCTCCCTCAACACGGATGAGAGCTCTGTAAACAGCCTTCTCCAACAGAGAACAGGTCTCTGGGGAGAGTTTTCCTTGGGGAAGAGGTCCCAGGGCTGTCCCAAGGTGGGCAGGTTCCTGAGGGCAGTGCTGGGGCAGGAGGCAGGCTCACCTTGGTACAGAGTAGCTACATGTTGGCTCAGGGACCACACGGAGTAGAGTGCGCTGAGCCGGCCCAGCACGTCGCGCAGCGAGGGGGGCACACTGGCGTGCCGTGTGAAGTCATGGAACCGCTGGGCCACTGTGAGCTCCATGAAGGCCAGGGCCAGGGAGTGGCAGTGGTACACCTGGAGAGACCAGACAGACCGAGTGATGGGGGAACACCTGGACAGAACACAGCCACCTGGCTGTCTCTCTGCTGTACTCGGGGTGGGGGAAGGAGGCCGAGGTGCCTGGGGCCTGACTGCAGGTACAGTGAGGTCATTTCCTGGACTCCTGGGCACCCCACATGCTCTCCACAGGGTGTTCAGTGGCTGGCCTTTCAAACACAGATTGCCAGGTCTTTCCTCTGAGGTTCCTCTGGGTGGTTCTGACTGCTTAATCAGTTGTATCACCAGGTTCTCCCATCTCTAATAAAACCCAGTTTTCAATGATGATTCTTTCTTTGGAAGATTGCCAGGTCTTTCTCACCCGGGACCTCCACTTGGCCATCTTCCCCGTCCCTGCTCCAGCTGCTCTGTGAACTTACACACCTGAGTCATCGGGGGTCCCAGGGTCTCAGCCTCCTGAGAGACCCTGCCCCCAACAATATGGAGAGGCCTGAGAGAGGACCAGAGACAGGGCTATGTGTCCCCACTGAGGACCCGAACAAGGCACGTATGGGACTGCATGTAGCTACAGACCAGCTGTCTTCACAGTAAACCTTGCGCTCCGTGGGCCGAGGGCAGACAGAGCCTGCCGGGACCCACATATGTAGTCAGAGAACTGTTCTTTCTCACTGCGGCCCCTCTGCTGCCCACAGACCTCCAGGCCCCGAGAGGAAGTGGTAGATCAGGCCAGACCTGGAGCACCACACCACACCATCAGTCAGTGGCCGAGTGCTTAGCCACTGTGCCACTAGGGGTCCTTTCAGAGAGATCTGCTGAGGCCGGGGCCCTGCACCTGGCCATGTGACTTCAGGATTGCCAGGGATCAAACCCGCTGCCTTCCCCTTGGTTCCCACTCACAGCGACCCCGTGACCATCGTCACCACCGTCATGCCTACTGCTGCTGTCACTGCTAGTCCATCTCCTAGGGGATCTTCCTCTTCGCTGCTATTTTGGAAGCTGTAAATACTCATGTGAAGCAGCTGGGGGAGTTTGAACCGCCGACCTTGTGATTAGCAGCCCAGCGCCTAACTCACAGCATCACCTGCAGCTGGTTTTCCAGGCAGGCTGAGTAGCCGGGGTTTTTTTGCTCACTTCCAGCAGCTCTTTGCCATCAGGGGTCCTGTGGGGTTTTCTGTGGACTGTGTTCACAGTGCTTTTTATACACACTTGAATCAGGCTGTTTTCCTCCCCGCTCCTGAGCCTCGGCTGTTAATTAAGCCGGCTGGTCCCACGCTGAGGTTATGTAAATGTTCTCAAGGCTGTCACCTCACGGGTGACACCACTGTGACGTTGTCCATATGGGAAGGAACCACATCCCTCAGAGTCCAGTGAGGTCCAGCCCAGGTGTCCAGAAAGCCGCGGTTGTCAGACAGCTGAGAGCTGGCTCTGAAAATCCCAGCATTCCAGGAAGGCCATCTCCCCTCAGGACGCCCCGTTCCACGGCCACCGTCTTGTCCTCTCTCCACTAACTTCCCTGACCTCCGGTGCCCACTGAGCGGCATGGACCTCGTGGAAATGCTAGGATGTGTCTCTTTGACAGAACTCTGTTGTTAGGTGCCCCGGAGTCTGCTCTGATTCACGGCAACCCCACGCACAACAGAACCAAAGCTCCCTGGCCCTACACCATCCGCACCATCACTGCCTCACTGAAGCCCATTTCTGCTGCCCCCTGTGCTAATCCATCTTGTTGGGGGTCTTCCTCTTTTTTGCAGAGCCTCCACTTTCCCGAGCATGATGTCCTTCTCCAGGGACTGGTCCCTCCTGATAACATGTCCTAAGTATGAGAGATGACGTCTGGCCATCCTGGCCTCTAAGGAGCACTCTGGCTGCATTTCTTCCAAAGCCACCCTCAAGGTGAGTTACTCCTGACGCCTCTCAGCCGGCGCTCACCCCACACTTGGTCTGTGTCTCCTCTCAAGAAACCCCATGTTTACTGGGCATTGTTGGGGGCCTTCGGCCTGAGTCCAATGCCTCTCAGCCCTATGGCTCTTGCGGATGGGGAGCCGTGGGGCTGGATAAAGGAGGCTCCCCCATCTGTGTGCACAGGACACTTCCTCTCAGCTCTGGTCATGCGTGTGCCAGCATGGGTCTTAGCCGACGCTAGTCTCGCTGCTGTCTGCTCCCAGTGGGGAAGAGCCAGGGCCTCTCAGCTGCAGCATGAGACCAGCTGTGCTCCGGCTGCAGGGAGAGACCCTCGAGCCATGGAGCCTGGGGACCCCTTGAAGCTGGTCTTGCTCTCTCTTCTCTGTGAGTGGAGGCGAGCCTCCTTCTGAGCCCGGATGTACAGTTTGGGACAGTGAGCAGAAGAGGGAGCAGGCAGGACACCTGGGATGGAGCAGTTTCCGGGATTCGGGCAGCACTACGACTAAGGCAGCTGTCTTCCCAGTTCCAGACCCCTGGTGTGGCGCTGTAGGATCAGCACTGGACTTTAAGCCACAAGGTCGGCAGTTCAAATCCACTAGCTGCTCCTTGGAAACCCCACTGTATGAGGTTGCTATGAGCCAGAACCGACTTGACCACACTTAACTGCCAGTTCCAGGGAGAGAGTCCGGTGTAGAGCAGGATGTGGGGGGCACTCTGAACTGGGCTCTAAAAGTGGCTTAATTGTTGAGTCTGACAGAACCTCCCTAACGGAGGCCCAGGAAAAGAGACGTGACCAGTGTGTGGGCTGTAAGCCAAAAACCACTGCCACCGAGTGGATTCCAACTCACGGTGACCCTGAGGACAGGCTAGAACCCGACTCCTGGCGCGACGGGGTGCTCCCTAACAGGAACCCCTGCACGTGACAGTCTCCTCCACCAGTGAGAACACGCCCCCTTCCAGGCTGCCCTTCACCAGTCACACCTGGGCACCTCGGCTCAGGAGACGGTGACCCTGTAACCGAGGGGGTCGTGGTGACAATGCTGCCCAGTGGTCACTAGGGAGCTTCCGAGTCCCCAGCCCGGGTCCTGGCTCAGACCCTACTGTGCATCAGCAGCTGACAAAACCTAACAGTCCAGTTTCATTAATCCCAGACCGGGCACCATGAGGGCCTCCAAGTACAGTGTCCACCACTTCTCCCCGGTCAGCAAGCCAGGTGTCAACGTCCCCAATTCACAGGCCAGTAAACCTAGGTGTGAGGCAGGACACAACATATCGCAGGCAAGCACAGAAGCAGGGTGCGGATGCTGGTGGGAAGCACATTGTGGACAGGAACTGAAACGGAGCACACACTGATGGGAATGGAGCAGACATCTGGTGGGAACGCACAGAGGATGCACACAGAGACGGAGCGGAAGTCGGTGGGGCGCATGCGCACAGCCACGGCAGCCACTGAGCAGATATCTGGGGGAATGCACAGCGGATGTGCACAGACACGGAGCACACGTCGGTGGGGGCGCACGTCAGTGGGGGCGCACCGTGGCGTGGGATCGCTCAGCAGACGCGCACAGAGATGGAGCAGATGTTGGTAGGAGTGCACCACGGATGTTGGTGGAAATGCACGGTGGATGCACACAGAGACGAAGCGGATGTCGGTGGGAGCACACTGCGGGTGCGCATAAAGGCGTGGATATAAGTAAGAAGCAGCTTTCAGATGCGCATCTACCTGAGAGTTGTTCCTGGCATCAAAGTCACTGCTTCCCGCCTGCTTCTCCTGATTCAACTTCCGGTCACTCTCTCGCAGTAGGTAACACACCAGCCACCTGTATGCTGCCAGGGTGTCTTTGAAACGAGAAACGGAAGAGCAGTGACAATACAGCGTCAGCAGCTGGCCAGCATGGACTGAGCTGGTTGCACTCTGCTCTGTGACTAGCCGGGCCACTGAGAGTCAGAGTCCCTTCAGTGGTCAGCTACTCGGCGGTCAGCTAGTGCAGCCAACTCTACAAGATCTGAAGCATCAAAACAAACCATGTGAAGAGGGCCAGGCTCCCCCAGAGCTCAGGACCCCAGCTCCGCATCTGGTCCACTGACACCATCCTGACCACCTCTCCTCTGCCTACCAAGCAGGTCTGGCTGGTCCTCCTCCTGGTGGTCTCCTTGTGGCTGACCCTCACATCCACAGAGAGGAATTGATGGGTTCCGCCTGGAGGATGCCACCCGCCACGCACCGCTGCTGAGTCCATGCCGACTCCCAACAACCCCGGGACAGACAGCTGCCTCAGGGCCGTCCAGGCTGGGATCTTAGAGAAGCAGGTTACCAGGACTTTCTTCCACTGTACTATGGAGGTGAGCCCACACCGCCCACCTTTCAGGGAGCGGTGGAGTGCAAACTGTGTGTACACTGAGGCCCATGCTCCGGGCCCTCTGCCTGCCTCCCCATGAGAGAATGGGGACCTGGCCTCACTCCGGGGCTACAAACACGAAGGTTCCATCAGTATGCAGACCTAACACTGGCATAATATTAAAGAAAGTAGTCCCCAGGTGGTGCCAATGGCTTAGCTTGGAGATGCAAGTGCACCCAGAAGTGGTGCAGAAGTAAGGCCTGGCAACCGGCTTCTGGAAAATCAGCCATTGTAAACCCTGTGAGGCCCAGCTGTACGCGGATTCATAGGGTCACTGTGAGTTGGGCCACCTGGACAGCCATAAACTAGTGCAACTAAGAGCAGGTCCTTGCAGAAAACGCGATCACAGCTGTGGTCAAGGACCTCTGGCCGTGAAATGTGCTTTCTTTTCTATGCAGGGCTCCAGGTCACGGTGGTGAGGGGGTCCAGCACCTGCCCAGCCCCCCATCACACACAGCACACAGGTCTTCTGAGGGTCAGCTCTGTGTCCACTGTGAGCAGGTCATCCCACACATCCTCACATCACACTGAGCCACAGTAACAAAAGGGTCAGGGTGAGTCCAAATTCACCCAATGGCAGCAGCTTTTAACAGGCTCCCGTTAAGAGTCAGGCAGCTAACCACAAGGTTGACGGTTCAAACCCACCAGCCACTCTACAGGAGAAAATGAGGCTGCCTGCTCCCATGAAGATGTGGGGTCTTGGCAGACCCCATGGTGGTGTGAGTTAATACCAACTTGATGGCCGTGGGTTGTTACATTGATCATTTCGGATTGGTGCCGGGTAGGTCTTAACCCTAATCCCTCCTGAGTTATCTAGAGAGCGCAGCAGACATCAGGTGAGGGTCGTCTAGGAGCCAAGGAACCGAGCAGCCCAGGGGCTACAGAGGAACAGGGCATCCACTTGGCTGAGACCCTCCAGAATCCTGAGAGCAGACCCCGGTGAGTGTGCTGGGGCGCCTCCTAGTGGTGGGGATGGGACGTGCCAGGAGCAGAGCACACTCACCCTCAGGGGCCCAGGCATTCCCTGCACTGGGGGCGCTGAACTTCTGGCTGAGAATGTCGGGATATGCATCCAGGAAGCCCGTGATCTTCAAAGGGCTTTCAGCTCGAGCTCCACCTAGGACATCAAGCCCAGGGAGGTTTGTGAGAGGCAGGGGAAACCCTAAACCACAGAGGGCACCATCGTCCACCAGCACCCCACCTTGGAGCCCCCCAGTAAGCAGTGGCCGATCAAGTATGAATAACACACTCCCCTTCCCACAAACAGCTGGAGCGTGTTCATGGAGCAGAATAAACCAGGAAGGTGGGAGGACCTGCCCCGTCCCTCCAGGGCCGGGAGCCTCACCTTGGGCTTTTTCTGCCAGGAGGCTGAGCAGGAAGTTGCTGGTCTGCTGTAGCAGGACATTGTTGTCCCCTTCGTACGTGCAGTTTGGGTCGTTATCGTCCCGAAGGTCACCCAGGCGGTTCACTGCAACAGAGCCGCATGGTGACCCCCAACACCATCCGATCAGCACCACTCCCTACTGCTGGGGCCTCTGGATCTCTGAAATCGCAGTTTCCTCCATCTTTAACCTGCTGGAGATCCATGGGACACATAGTGCCCACCTACATTTTCTGCCTTTGGGGTTTAGTGGGAAGCTCTTATCCCACTTTTGTTGTGTGCTTTTACTGCCATCTGGTGGGAGCCTGGATTCACTGCATGAATCTGAAGGAACAGGCATTGTCCCACCAACCAACACCCCCCCTCCCTCCTGAACATACGTGTTCCACTAGCACTCAACTATAACATCAGTTTGAACCACAAGGTTGGCAGTTCAAACTCATCAAACGCTCCTCAGAAACCCTATCCAGGGTCGCTGTCCAGGGTCGCTGTGAGTCAGAACCAACTAGACAGCACTTAATGATCTTAGAAGTTTTCATGTCATTCAAAATGCCTTCGGTGACTGAAAACGCTTGCCAGACCTTTCTTCAGAAACACCTCTCTGCTTCACAACTAAGTGTACCCCACCCCCCACCCCGGGATTCCTCCATGTCCTCCCCTCCATAAGCCATGCTTCCCAGGCCCTCACCACCTTTGTCTTCCTCCCCCAACCCTGCGTGTTCCCCAGTGTGAGGCCGTCTGCTCACACACAGACGGGCCAGAGAGGGTGTGTGATGTCTAGCACCCACTTTGCCAGTTCACACTGGGCTTGTGGTCACCAATCACACCCTGATTTCCCCCTCACCCCCCACTGAGAAGTCACACCCACACCATCATCGAACCACTGGGTGTGAAGAAAGACGGAAAGGAAAACATCCAGTTGATATTTCAAATCAAGATCAAAGTTGCCCTTTGACCCTGCTGTCTGATGTCAGTTGGCCGCAGTCCAGAGTGTCTCAGAGTTGGGCTGAATCTTGGCTAAGTTGTTTTTGTTTTCTGTAAGGCTGCAAGATCCAACGTCCTTCTACTTAGAAAACAGGGACTGAGCTAAACAATGTTCAGGAATTGTGCTGAGTAAAGCAAACGTAAAGTCACATTGAAAGCAATGCAC